CGTTAGGTCGTAAGTCCGCTGGGAATACCAATCCAACCGATGCTCCGAATCCTGGAATCGTCGGTGGTGCGCTTCGCGCTCTAGTTCCAAACGGGTGAGGACCTCCTCCGCCCGTGACTTTTTCAGCGTCTCTTTCATGGGGAATCTGGGTGAGTCGTAACTGCATGTGGTCCGCCGCCTTCATTACCTCGGCCATCTCGGCAGCGAGGGGGGCGAAATCGTAAACCGAAGTCGGGGTGCCCAGCTGCGCAATCTGGGTCCGTGCAACATGCAACTCAGCCAGTGCAGCCTATAGATCAAGTAACTGCTGCTCGACAAAGCACAAGTCCCTCTGATGCATCAAGACGTTGAGCAAGAGCCATCTCGGCAATGCACAGCTTGCCGTGCAACTCGGACGTGGTTGTGGTACTCTCGGGGTGGAGGTTGACGTCACATCAACGTGATCACGAAGCGCAATGAGGTCATCGCGGGGCTGTTGATCCGTAGTCCCAATGTACCTCGTGTAGGATCCTGACAGCAACAGTGCCTGTATCCCTGACGCTCACGAACTGCGCCTCCATGGCTAGGAGGTAGTCGTGCAACGTCTGGATAGCAGTGGAATTGGCACCTCGGTGTGACTCCGCACGGTCGGCTTGATACTGGACCTGACTTAGGATCGATCGATCCTCGGCGATCCGAGCGTCGACCAGGGCAAAAACATGCTGGACTTCTTGCCTCTATTTTGCTGTCTGTGTCGCGTGATCGGCGACTGTGGCAACAAGGCCCGACAACTCTTGGGTCGTGTAAGTTTCAACCTGGTCTCTGAACTCTGCCAAATCACCGGCGGAGGGCGATGTTTGTGACGCGATGTCGCGCCGCACTCTGCTGTGAGCGCCTCTGGAACGGGCTGCGGTTATTGTGCCTATTCTGAGACTGGAGGCGATACCGCTCGGGGCCTCTTCGCTGTGAGGTCGTTCCGGTGCGATCCTCAATGCCTCGCGCGTGTTCAGACGCAGGAGCCGATGTGGGGTTCAAAGGGGGTCTGGCGTCCCAGCGGCGGTGTCGCGCGGAAGCGTTCGGAGGAAAAGTTTCGTTCGCGCCACCGCGGGTGTTCCCACCGGCGAAAAATGGAGAAGAAGGCTTCGAGGCGAATTCAGCGGTCGCGCCGAAGGCTTCCGCGGGTGTTCCCACCGGCGAGGGTTCTGAACGAACGTTGTGGCTTCAGGTGATTGACCAGTCGACCGAAAGCTGGGTCCAATCCCTGGGATGGACGATTGCGCCGGCACGGAAAACTGAAAAGCGTCCATGTCTGCCTGTTGCGCCCGTCGAAACTCCGTTTCGAGTCGAGCGTCGGCGCTGCATTCTCCTGGTAAGGGGGATCGCGGTATCATTCCATGTCCCAGTGCCCTCTCCGTGTCGTCGCGACGCCCACGCACCGTCGAAAAGCTACAGCGCATAGAGACACTGGTCCCCGCGGGGTCCAGCGCCATGCGCGAAGCTCAAAGGCGGCGCGGGGTGTCGCAACGGAGAGCATAATGGAATAGACTGATAACCTGCGAACGGAAGTTGACGACTAATGGGTCGAACTTACCGTGGGTCCCGTAGGTAGGAGGACGATCGGGAGAAAATATGAGTCTCTTGTGTCCATGCGCCCGTGAGAACAGGGGCGCGCAAAATGTCCCAATGTCCCATACCTGAGCCGAGAGGATAGCAGGATAGATGGATAGAAAAGGAAGATGATCGGCCTTCACACAAAATCTAGGCGGCGGCGGGGCGGCGACGGCGAGCACAGAACCGCTAAACCGCCAGCCAGGCCCAAACGACGGGCGTCGACGAGGCGGCATGGGGGCGGCGACAGCGAGCACGGAGCCGCCAGACGGACAACCAGGCCCAGACGACGGGCGCAGACGAGGCGGCGATGGCGAGCACGGAGCCACCAGACTGATATTGAGGGCCAGACGACGACTGGCGACGAGGCGGCGACGGAGCGGCGACGGCGAGCACAGAGCCGCCAAACCGATTTTCAGGCCCAGTCCCGCAGAAGAGACACAAGAGCTCCTAAGTGCAAACGCTGTTTGGGGACAATTGTCCGTCATCCTTCCCCTCACTCACATTTCCCATTGCCCACTTCCCCATTCCCCTTAACCCTCAAACTTATTACATCTTCCACTCTCTCAGTCGATCTTCCCTCTTTCCTCCATGACCACTCCCCTGGAGAAACGTATGTGACATGTTCTTTCCCTTTCCCCTGCCCAAGCTCCTCCTATACGATCTGCTCGCCATGGGATCTGCCTTCTCCCTTCACACCCGCTCTGCGGCGACCGCTGCTCACGAAGCTTTTGCTGAGAGGTCTGGCCAAAAAGTTCCGCTCCCCCGCCTCCTTTGACAGTTTTTGCCACTCATTCCCATCACAACTGATCGCTCTTCCTTCCCCTCGACCCTCATCCAAGGTCTGAAACTGGAACCTTACGACGCTGGTGGAACAATGCAATGTTAGAATTTTGCACCTTGCTGGGAGGGTTGTGCAACGCACTGCTTCCACACAGTTAGCTTACTTGAAGAAGCACGAGAATCGTTGTAGATGCTATCCAAGCGAGGCGCCTCCGTAAAGTTGTGCGGATCCACAACCCATACATCAGCTGTAAACGACGTGCTTGTTTGGGGGGCACCTCGCCAGGAAACCAGGCGATGGCCCCAGGTGCATCACGGTTTTCCTGCCATTATCGCATCTACCCGCGGAGCGACCCAGATAGAGAAAGCGGGGGCGTCCACAGGTGACTTAAGCGGAAGAAACCTACCGACATGCCTGAGCAGCTGCTGGAAGCATGGAGTCCTTTCCGGCGCTGTCAGGCAAAAGTCGATTGGCGACGACGTAGCTATCCGCAGCGCGCAAGAATTCCGACGACATCTAGACGCAAACGTAGTGCGCATGTGCATGATCTGTCCTCCCTCGTGGTCTTCGTCGTTGTTTATGGCACACCGCATGGGAGCTCACAAGGTCTTGCTGCGCCGCAGATCGCTCGTCCTCTCCCTGCATGCTCGTCTCAACATCTTGCTCATTCCTCTCCCTCGTTGCCGACGTTGCCGAATATTAACTTCTAAAGAAAATGATTGCTGATCTCAGCAATCGGTTCTGGGCGCTCTTGCCTCGACGCTGGCTGCATGTTCGATTAAAGAAAACTCCCGTTTGAGCGCGGGCTTGGGGCCCAATGCGTCTGGGAGGCCCAACTGAGGCGACAACGGCTCCCGCTCGATTCTTCCGTACAACGTACTCCGAGGCACCCTGGCCACAGAGGCCCAAACTCAGGAACGGCGCTCTCGCTCGCGAAACGTACTCGAAATTCAAGCCAATTGCTGGAGGGCCGACTGAAATTCCCAATTTACTCCGAGACGCCCTGGCCAGGCAGGCTCCCAAACTCAAGAACGGCGCTCTCTAGCGAGACTTCCTCGCAAAGCAAGCAAGCTGGCGAAGACCAAGCGACGACGACAACGGCTCCCACTCAATACTTCCTCACAAGTTACTCGGAGACGCCCTGGCCCGAGAGGGCCCAGAGCTCAGGAACGGCGCTCTTGCCCGAGACTTCCTGGCAATTCAGTCCAACTGTTGGCGGCACAACGACGACGAGAACGGTTCCCGCTCAACACAAAAGTTACGCCTTAGACGCACTGGCCAGGGAGGGTCCCAAACTCGGGAACGGCACTCTCGCTGGAGACGCCCTCGCAATCGGGCCAAGCTTATGGAGGCCCAACTGCGACGACAACGGTTCCCGCTCGATACTTCCTCACAAATTACTCCGAGACGCCGTGGCCAGAGAAGGCCAAGCTCAACCACAGCGCTCTCGCTCGAGACCTCCTCGCAAGTAGGATCATTTGTTAGAGGCCCAGCTGAGACGACAACGGCTCCCACTCGACACTTGCTCACAATTTACTCCGAGACGCCCTGGCCAGACAAGCTCCTAAACTCAGGAACGGCGCTCTCTACCGAGACTTCCTCGCAAATCAGGCAAGCTGGCGGAGACCCAACTACGACGACAATGGCTCCCTCCTCTTCCTCCTCCTCCTCCTCCTCATCCTCCTCCTCCTCATCGTCATCATGGTCGTGACAAGCATAATCATCATCAACTTCATCACCACAAGCAGGAACATAAGACCCACCATCTTCATAATCCTCTTCACATCACGGCTCTCCCAAACCTGGCGACGCGAAGCGACACACGCGACGGCCACCCGTGCCTCCTCGAACAGTCGCCGTTGGAAATGTTGGCATCAAGAGGCCTCAAAACTGCACCCAAGAGGCCCCCGAGAGGCCTCCCACGAGATCCCAAAGAACATCCAATAGGCTTCATACCCACAACCCAGGCACGGTGGCGGGACTTGCCATAGGCAACTGTAAAAGGAGACAATTAGCCTGCAAGTGTACGGAACACGGCGCGAACTGTAATCAGGAGTTGGAAGAAGTAAGAACCTCCTCCTCCTCCTTTCGTCCTCCTCCTCCTCTTCCTCCTCTGCGTCCTCATCGTCGTCGTCTTCCTTCACCTTTTCCTCCTCCGATGCCGATTCCTCTCAACAGGCGATTCCCATACAGTAGGGGCCCGACCACAAGAAACCTGCCACAAGACACCCTACCCTGAGACCCCACGACGTCCCTTGATTGTTGGTGTGGGCACGTCGCGTTTCCATCGCAAAACATTCGAACCCCAAGAAACCCGGGGCACCCTGGAGGCAAGCAGGGTGTTTCTTGGCATGGGTCTCCACTGTGCCTGTCCTGTGGCGCATCATGGATAGAACGTCGAAGCCGAATCCTGCCGCAGCGGGCGAGGACGCCCCCCAGAAGGCGAGGCCCCCGAAGAGGGGCCAGAGACATCCCCCAAAAACGGATCTTCGGCGTCGTGAGCTCGCGCGGAGGGAGATGGAGGAGGAGGAGGAGGAGGAGGAGGAGGAGAAGATGGAGGAGGAGGAGGAGGAGGAGGAGGAGGAGGAGGAGGAGGATATGGAGGATATGGAGGATATGGAGGATGAGAAGGAGGAGGAGGAGGAGGAGATGGAGGAGGAGCCGGCCGCACACTGTTCATGGCGATAATCAGTCAGCCGTGCCAAAGAGTCGCTTCATCCAGGTCAGCTCGAGCGCGTACCATTTCGAGGGGAAATCATGGCCGACCCCCTTGCTCCAATGCCACTCACAATCGTATGGGGCCAGCATCTCTTCTAAAGGTCTGCGCTCGACAACCTCGTCTCTGGTCCCATTGACCACGCAGAAGCGCGAGCGCGACTTCTTGGGCATCAAACCCCCGAGCTCGAAGAAGCCCGCGAACGGAACGCCCCCGCAGACGATCACCCCGCGGGCCCCCCGCCTTGCGCCAACAATCGCGGCCAAGATCGATCCCTGCGAGAAACCAGCCAGCACCTACGCCACGAAAATATATACACGGACGCCCTCCGACAAACTTTGCATGTACCTTCAGGGAGGGTGGTGGTGTCGAAGGTTGCTGGCTCGTAGTGGTGATTTGTATACCGCCACCTTCCCCTGAGGCCCAGGAACAATCCATTGGAGAGTGACTCTGTATATATGTATATATATATATATATATATATATATATATATATATATATTCGTGGCGGAGCACCAGGTCGTCGTTGGACAGTCCGTGCTTGTCGAGCACTGCGTCGAGCCATCGGTTCAGCTCGCGACAGCTACTGCGCACGGAGCGGTGGAACTCCTGGACGCTGGCCCGGAACTCGTGCGAATCGGCGCCGAAGCGGGCCTGAGCCTCGAAGAGGAAGAGCCCGCGCGTGGGGGTCCAGGTGTACCCTGGGTCCCCGTCGGTGCTCCAGTCCGTCCGGTGCGGCGACTGGGGCACGGCGAGCAGCGCCCCCGGCAGCCCTTTCGCCCACCGGCACACGACACCCTTGGCGCAGCATGCGGCGGAGTCGTTGAGGCCGTGCAGTAGCACCACCAGCTGCTTCGGGCGGCGGCGGCGCCCGAAAAAGAGAGCGTTCCGCCCAACAAGCAGCTCCCCACCAGGCACGAGCGCGCGTCCTCTGCTCGCCGCCGGCTTCCGCCTCGCGCCAGCAGGCGCCACCGCGCGAGGGCGCGCGCGACGCGGGCCCATCGGCCGGGCGTTTTGCGGGGGAGGCGAGGAGGGGGGAGGAAGGAAGGACGAGAAGCGGAGGGGAACAGCAGCAACAGCAGCTGGAGGGACGCCCGTGGCGGCTGGCGGGCAGCTCGAGCCAGAACTGGAGCGCCAGCACTAACATGGGCCCACCAGTCTCAAGATACTCCACGGCCCGCGTGTTGCAACCGCGGATGTGCCCCAGCCGCTCGAGGCGGAGGAAGAATAGTTCAATTGTTGGGGGTTTTGGTGGATGCAATCATGGAACGTTTAGCTGCTAGGGCAGTGTGGAAAAGGGCGCACATCTTGATGAGAGATCTTCTCTTTACTCTGGCAGATATATCAACTAAAGGAGCAGTTCAGACCCCCTCTTGGGTCACCAATAACACCAACATGGTCAAATACATTAGTTCTGGAAGAGCCTGAGGAACTCCCAAGGACGGACAAATCAGAATTCCAACGGAACCCTCATGAAACGAGACGAAACTGTGAAGAGTCCGGCTGGAAGTCCGAAACACATGCCCTGGATCCCGGAAGAACAAGATGGATTCTCAAACGAAACCGGACGAACCACTCGGAAATCTAAGGACATTCCATGACATTCTCGGGAACCCTCCTCCATCTTTACTCCAGGCTTGTACTTCAAGCCCTACTCTGGAATTTTAATGTTGTGGTCCTCGCGCGCGGTGGCGTACGCACGAAAATAATCCCAGGATCGCACCGCCCACTGTGACTGTGCACGACGCAATGTGCCGCAAATTATGTGGTGCAAGCTACGTGGCGCAAAATATTCGTGTAAGCGCTGTGGTGCTAACTATGCGGTGCAATTCTGGAACTCGCAGTCGTCATCTCTACTGCTCGCGCAATCATCCCACACACCCGCCCGTAACTTGTTTTGCAAAACACATGCGGCGGCGATTGCGATGAGTGCTTGGTGTTGGCTGGTGCCTCTCTGTGGCCGCGCTACCCCGCGCATGGCCGCGCGCGCAGCGGCCAGGTAGTTTGGCGCGACCGACGCAGCCGCGGTGGCGCTGACCCCTGGGCACTTCCAAACCGGCACTTCTCTGCGAATCGGCCACTTGTGCGGGCACGGTATCATGGCAACGTCGACAATGGTAGACACGATGATGATAGTAGCGACGCTGGTGACGATGATGACAACGGCGACGGCACGGCCAGAGACGGCGCCGATGCTGATCACGCCGACGACGATGACGGCGTCCTCGCGTCGAGGATGAAGGTTTGGGAAGGAGTTCGACATGCGCGCGCGGCCCACGCGCGAGTGGCCCGCATGGTGTTATTTGAAACGGATCGTGCCCCCCAGCACGCGCGCAAGGGGTTCGAATGATGTCGACATGCGGCGCGAAAGGCCCGTTTGGCAGAATTTCATGGACATGGTGAAGCACCTATGGCTTTCTTAAGACTTCGCAAGAGCGCGAGAACACTTTGTTGAAACATGATGTTGCAAAGCCATGTGTTTTTTATATGTGTTCGGGGCACTCGAATTTGAAATCCGTGCGAAACCCCATGGTTTCTGAAATATCCTGGCATGCGCGCGCGACGACCCGCGCGTGTGCACTCCGTCCCGTTTCTTGCAAGGGGTTATTGCGACAGCACGCGCGCAAAGGTGTTCAAACGATTTCGACATGCGAACGCGGGAGGCCCATTTGGTAGCATGTTATGAACATATTTCACAATCGATATGTTTTGTCTAGACTGTAAAAAAACAACTCGCAAAAGCGCGAGCGCAAGCTTGTGTTGAATATTTTTGTTGCGAAAACATGTGAGTTCGAAATATTGTCGGAACACGCGATTTTGAGATCTGTTCGAAACCTTCGGCTTTTAACTGATTTCTGCATGCGCGCGCGACGACGCGCGCGTGTGCACTTCGTCCCGTCTGTTTCACGGGATTCTTGAAACCTGATGATTTGTCATCACGAATGCGCGCGTGATAACTTTTGCGGGGGACGATGGGGGAAAATATTACCAGCCTGGCTGGGTTGGTCCGAGCTCATGTACAGGGTCGACGATGGGGCAGAATCCAATGCACATCGCAATGCGAAAAGGTGGACCATTAACCCCGGGGAGGGCGGGATTCTACACGAATGCTCTTTGAGAAATGAGAACCAAAGGGTTGGCATGAATTGCTGTCCGATTTGAAGACGTCAGCTCCGCCGCTCGTGCAAACACTCCACCCTCCCACCCGCAACTTGTTGTTTGCAAAACCCGTGCTGCCGAAATTGCGGCGACTGCTCGGCACTGGCGGGCGCATCTCTGTGGCCGCGGTGCTGCGCGCATGCTCGCGCGCAAAGCGGCCAGCCAGCTTGGCACAACTGAACTCTCGATCCCTTCTACCCCCCCCCCTTGCCCCTCCGCTTGCCACGCCTCCCCTTCCAGCGCCCTTTTCAAAGGGAGCGGGATGGGGGTGGGGGGCGCAGGGTGGGGGGGGAGAAAAAACAGGATTAGCGAGAGAAGTGACGAGAGAGAGAGAGAGAAAGGAGAGACGAAAGAGAGGCAGGAAGAGAGAGAGGAATGAGTAGATAGAGAAACAGTAAGGGAGGAAGGAGGTAGGATGAGTGATACACAAAAGGGACAAGAGACGAAGGATGATGGGGACACGCGGGGGATTGTGGGCAAACTGGCAAATTGAGAGCCCGTCTCAATAGGTGCATCGAATACGCAGGAGGCCACAGCGCAGTGCCAATGGGAACCACAACCTCGCAGCTGCAAACCACAACCTCATGATTGTCGCTTTCGTGGGGGTTTCTGAAGCCGCTTCGGAGCCGTTGCGATGCCTCGGAGGGCCGTGAGGAGGAGGCGAATGTGCCGAAGTCATTGATTTTCCGGGCGGAGTTGTGAAGGATTTAAGCCTCTCGCGAGCATCGTGGAGAGCATCTGGAAGCACTCTTGGACGCTCTTTTGGGCTCTCTTGAGGACCTCCTGGGCTGTCTGGAAGCGATATGGGCCGTGTCGGGGCCGTCCCGAGCCGTCGGGATGCGACTCTGCACTGCCTGAAGGTCACATAAGCACCTACGTGTCCGATTCTTAACCCTTCCCGGCGTCTGGCCGTATGGGGGGATCTTGGAAGGACCCCAGGGCCCCAGCACGGCCATAGAGGGTCAAGCATTTGTTCTGGGGCCCCGGGCCGCGTCCCCCGCGCCTAAGCAACGGCGTACAATTCAACGCAATGCAAAACAATGCAAGAAACCGAGCGAACCCGACGAACCCCAGAAACTCAGAGATAAAACCCTGCCAATGGGGCGTGGACAGAAGAGGAATGGAGGACAGAAAAACAAATGAGGCGGAATCGCATAGCGTCGCCCCGCCCTGTTCGGCACGCCCTTCACACGGATCGTGCCCTCCAGGGTGTGCCACCTATGGCCCCAGAGAAAGGCAGAGTTCACATAGCGCCCCCTTGCTAATTTCGGCGCGCCCCTTACACGGATCGTGCCCCGGCGGGAGCTCCACTTACTGAGCCAATGACAAAGATCGTATGGCGTCCCTCCGCCGCCCATCTCGGCACACCCTTCACACGGATCGCGTCTTGTAGGGCTCTCTTGGGAGCCTCTTGGAGCTCTCTTGGATCTTGTCTGGGAACCACTTGGGGCTCTCCTGGAACGTTTGGGGGTTTTCTTGGGCAATTTTGGGGCCATCTAGGAGCCTCTTGGGACGGCTTGAGTCGACTTGTTGCACCTGCTGGGCCGTCTTGGAGCGTCGGAAAACCGAAAAAGCGAAAGCATCAAGTACAATCAAACATTGATGCTCAATCACTGTTTTTGGCTTCCTCGAGCCCTCTTGGCGGTCCTCTTGAAGCCCTCTTGGGCAGTCCTGGAACCCTTCTGGGCCATGTTGGGATGCTCTGGCCGTCGTGGGGCCCTTTTTTTTGAAACCTCGTGGGGCGCTCTTGGGGCTCTCTTGGGGCCCTCTTGGGGATTTCCCGCGCAATTTTTGAGCTTGCTTGGGCCGTCTTGGGACTCTGTTGGACTATCTTTGGACTCTCTCGGTTTTCCTGTGACTTCCTCGGAGCCCTCGTGGGCCGTCCTTGGGCGACTTATGGCGCCTCCTGCGCCGTCTTGGGCAGTCGGAAGCCCGAAAAGGCGAGAACCCTAAAAACCGGCACAAACCAATGAACAATTAATGATTTATGGCCTCCCGGAGCCGGCTTGGAGGGCCTCCTGGAGCACTCTCGGGGCGTTTTGGAAGCAATTTGGGTCGCTGGAGGCGCCGAGTGAACCGTCTGAAACGACCGGCGAACGTCTTGGAATGACTCGAGGCCGCCATGCATCGTCTTGGCGGTTGTCTGAGCGCCCTCAGCGTCGATTCGGGGTTCCATAAGTCTGCGCGGAGAACCTGGAGCTCCCATGTGTGGTCCGGGTTCTGGCCCGGGGGCCCCTGGCCCCGGTCCTCCGTTATGTGGGCTCGGTTCGCTTCGCCTCAATCTTGGTCCTGCGCCCATGTACTCCCAACCACCCGGTGAATCGGCGATAGGTGAAAGCAGATGATGACCACGAGGGGGGTCACGGTCATTATCCCGGAACGGGCCACAGGCATGTTTTGGTTGGGGAGAAAGGGCATTGGTGTGACGAGGCCCGAAATCACGCATGCGAGGTGGGAGGGAGTGGTGACCACGAGGGGGGGTGCGATCATGACGTTCAAGGAGCAATGCCACGAGCGCCAACTGAGAAAAAACATAAATCAATGATCCGAAGCTAGGACGGCGAGGACGATGAGAAGGAGAAGGAGGACGAGAACGACGAGGACGGGCCCGACGAGACGGGCGGTCCTGCAGTCGCCAGAAGGAGGAAAGGTCATGACATAATGCGATTCCAGCAACGAGAGAGATGATATGATGGCCGCGAGGTGGGTGAAGGTTACGAAGTCGAACAACTATGTCCGTGGGTGCGAATGGAGACCGCAGGCATTGGGAGCGGGGTGGATGTGAGGGTCATCGGAGAAGGGCAGGGGTCGGTGCGACGAGGGAGACGCTGATGACCGCGAGGGGGGGGGAAGGTCATCGCTCGGAGAAGGGGTGGCGAGCCCCACCGCAATAAGAGAAGCTAACAATGAACAGTTCTTCGCTGCGGTCATGCTTCGAAGCTTCTTACGTGCCTTTGAGGCCTCTGCGCCATCTATGGGCCTCTTGGGAGCCTCTGGGGCTTTTGAGGGTCGCGCGCACCAAATCCGAATCCATCAACAAGTTTGGAAGAACAGTTGATTTGTGCAGTTCGCGGCCCTCTTGATCGTTTCGTGGCCAGCGGAAGACGATGACAATGACTAATGTCCGCTCGTTTTGGAGGTGGCCTGGGTGTTCTTCGGATGCCTTTAGGGATGGTCTCAGGCGTGCGTGGGCTTGAATAGGCCCTGGCGTTCACGGCGCCGCCTGGCCTACACCTGGCCGATGACCTTTGGGCGAACGTGGAAGACGATGACGAAGTAGGAGGTGGAGCTGAAGATGCAGAGCAGGAAGCGAGTGAGAACGAGCAGCAGCCGACTGATGTACGCTCGTTTTGGATGTGGCCTGGATGTTGTTCGGACGCTTTTAGGAAGGGTCTCAGACTTGAGGGGGCTTTAGGGGGCCTTGGCGTTCACGGCGCCGACTGGCCTACAGCTGGCCGAAACAAATAGAAATTAGCTGCCTCGAAGGAATGAAGCGGCGGCCGCCCAATGAAGCGGGGACACGGACATGACCGCGAGGGGGGTCGTGGTCATGCCGCCCAGGCCGTCGTGCCTCCATGGCGGCACACCCCTGTTCTGGATCGTGAGTTCAGGGCGTCTTGGGTGCCCGGCGGGGCCTTGCGGCGTGTTTCTGTGGGGCCTCTGGAAGCCTTCTGGGAACGCCGCGAAAGACGTGGACGCGAGACCTCCCAGACGCTTCGGGGGGCCAAGGGGGGAGGTTCCTGGGAGCCGTTGCAAGCATTTTGGGGATCTCTGGGGGGCTCTAGGGTCTTCTGGGGGATCCTTTTGGGGCTCTTTTGGGCCGGGGGGGGGGCCCTCTTGGGCCGTCCTGGGGCCTTCTTGGGCCGACTCGGGGGGCTTTGGCCGTCTTCGGGCCCTCTTGGTGCCCTATTGGGCCGTCTAGGGGGTTTCCTATGGCCCTTTTGGTGTTCCCTTGGGACCCTTTTGGGACCCTCTGGGGCCGGCCATGGGCAGTTTTGGGAAGCTTCCTTGGGCCGTCTTGGAGCACTCTTGGGCCCAGTTGGGGCCCTGTTGGGCGCCTCTTGGGTTGTCTTGGGGCGATATTGGTGGCCTCTTGGGTCGTCTGGTCATGGACGCTGTTAGGACCGAAGAAGCGTATATGCTGACCATATATGTTTCCCGGAAGGAATGCGGCGACTTGTGCTTCTTGGAAGCCCTCTGGGGGTCCTCCTGGGCCGTCTTGATTGAGGGCCTCTGTGGCCGTCCAGAAAACGTCTTGGGACCTCTTGGAGCGTTCCTGCATTATTTTGGAAGTATCTTAGGGCGCCTTGGGAGCCTCTCGGGCCAACTTGGGGGCATCTTGGGCCGGTGTGAAGGGGCATATTCGGCTGTCCGCGAACTCTTCCGACAGGTGCCCCGGGGCTGAGGAGTACCATCCAGAGGGCATGGGGGGGGCTATCCGAAGGGGGGGTCCATGCAGGGCGCATGTATGTATGCATGGATAGGTGGATGGATGGGTATATGAACGGATGGAGGGAGGGAGGGATGGATATATAGATGGAGGTATGTATCTGTGTATATAGAGAAATATAGGTAGGTCGGTCGGTAGCGCAGCGCTTCAGGAAGGTCTCCCGCCGCGCACGCGGGCGCGCGACGGACTACCCCCTGGCGCCGCCTACTCACGGCACGGTGCCGTAAGAGCAGGAGGCAATGTAGAAGGAGAGCAACAGGAAGAAGTCGTCCTCAAGCCGTGGACGCAGGCCAACGTGCCGCAGACGAAGGAGGCGTCGCCACCGAAGAAGACGCCGTGCCACCCGCCGGCCACGGAACGGCATCGAATCACGACATGGTCGATCAACGCGCCGCGTGGCTGCAAGAGGAGCCCCCCTGCGGGGGCGGCGCTGCTGGGGTACGTCGGGCACGAGGCGCCAGGCCCCTCTCGACGCGCCTGATCGCATCTTGCTAGTTGCGGCGCGTGGACTCGTTGGGCGAGAGCCCATCGCACCTCAAGCCACGCTTCCGCACTGTGCGGACATCTCCCGCAGCACAGTGAGACCCGCAGCGCCTGCAACAGTAAACACTGTTGCCCCTGAACACGTCGTGCCCAAGCGCAGCGAATGCGTCCCCGACCTTCTCGGCCAGGGCAGGTGGCAACAAGGCTGCGGGGGCCGAGGGCTGTGAGCTCCCTTCGAGCGCCAAGGCAGCGCCCAGGGCCATGCCAGCCCTCTGGTCGCTGCCGAGAACCCAGCCCTCGCCGAAGGCGCGGAAGTACTCGGCGTTGAGAGCTCTGGCAACGCGCGAAGGGCGACATACACGATGAGAGCCAGTTTGCAGCGACACGAGGGAGGAGCCCGTTGTGGCCGTGATTCCGCATTGGGTACATCGGTACCGCCCGAGGCTGGCGCAGTAAGCAAGGACATGGTCCGTACTGAGTGCCACCACAATGGGCCTGGCCTGCTCGAAAGGTGGCCTGGGGACCTCCACGTCGCACCCCCATTGTTTTCGAGCCACCACTTACAGTGCCGCCCACGAAATGAACTGCAGGACCTTGCGGTGCTGTTTCAGCGCAGGTGTTACCGCCTCAGCTACCGACCCAGCCAGTGCGTGAGAGGCCGCACCACAGCGCGCGAAGTAGTCTGCCCAGCCGTTGCCTAGCCAGTCACGCAGCTCCTGCGGCTCTGTGCCCATAAGCTCCTCCAAGGACCTGTGCGCTGGCGTCCATCGGAACTTGGGAGGGTCCCGCAGAGTGCGCCTGCGGCTGGCCACGAAAATGTCCCGCCACGCTCGAGCATGCTTGGCACGACCCTGCTCGAGCTCGGGACACCAACGCTCTCCTTCCTGGGCGAACGCCAGCAGGACAGTGACGAACCGCTGGTGGTCAGGGAAAGCGTCGAGCCCCTCCCTGATCGCGTACCTCTTAGCGCGGCCGACAGTCTGCACCAAGTACGGAAGGGGCCCGAACAGCGCCCTAACTGGGAACTGGGAGCCAAGAGTAAGGATCAAGCTGCACAACAGCTTGTCCACATCTACGCACCTCGGGAACACCTAAGTCGTAACCAGACCCGTCGGTGTAAGAAACGGGGCCCCAAACGCCATGGGCGCCACCCCAAAGGCAGACATCATTCCTCCGCGTATCTGGGCGTGGCAGATAAGCGGGAGGCTCGGGTATGCCAAAAACGAGGTAGGACTGTTCGAATGTCGGCGCGCCTGATCCAAGACCCGCTTGGATAAGTTGGTCGCGCACCTCAGCCAGAACTTGGGGGAGGTGGAAGATACCACGGCCATTCAGCGTTGGTGTCGCTGTCTCGGGCCCGCCGTGCCCGCATGGTGCATCGGGCGCCGAGGCTGGAGCCGCCGCCACAAGGGACAGCGGGTTACTCTGTTCCGAAGCAGCCGGTGGCGCACAGGGGACACTCTGCGCGTCCAGCCGCGCTTTCTCCTGATGGTCGTCGTACCCCTCGGGTGGCACAAAGTCGACCTCTTCATCACCCCCTCGCCCGATGCCTGGAAAAAAGTCGTCCTCGACCTCCATGGTGCTGGGTCGAGTCGGCAGGGTCGGCAGGGTCGGGTCGGCCCGACTCTCAAGGTTGTCGTGAGCTTGTAAGTAGGTAAACGTATATATGTGTACGTATGCATGCATGCATGCATGCATGCATGCATGCATGCATGCATGCATGTATGCGTGTATGTATGTATGTAGTGTTCCTGTGTGTATGTATGTATGTATGTATGTATGTATGTATGCATGCATGCATGCATGTATGTATGTATGTATGTATGTATGTATGTATGTATGTACGTATGCATGCATGCATGCATGCATGCATGCATGCATGTATGTATGTATGTATGTATGTATGCATGTGTGTATTCATGTATGTATGTATGTATGTATGCATGCATGCATGCATGTATGTATAGAGTAGTGTAGCGTAATGTGGTGTTATCTAGTGTAGTGCAGTGCAGTGCAGTGTCATGTAATGGATGTGATGTAATGTAATGTAATGTGATGTGATGGAATGTAATGTATTGTGGTGTAATGCAATGTGATGTAATGCAATCTGATGTAAGGTAATGTGATGGAATGTGATGTATTGTAGTGTAATGTAATGTATGTATGTATGTAGGTAGGTCGGTAGTTCGGTAGGTATGTCTGTATATGTGTATGTATGTACCTCAAGAAGGAGAGAGAGAGAGAGAGAGGGAGAGAGGAGGGGCAGGGGCAAGCGGAGGTTAGGGACGGGGACGGGAGCAGCGGAGCACACAGGAAAAGGCGACCGTGAAGACTTACTTCTGCCCCCATTGGCTGCGAGACAGAAGAGTTCATGAAATCTCTCGCGTGGGTGACCTACGCGCTCCCCCATTTGCCAAACTGGTATTAGGGGTAAGCCTAACGCTACACACACCTGCTTGTCGAGCGTGCCTATGGCCGGAACTTACGCCATCCCACTCGACCGAGTGCTTCTGACAGGAGCCAGACTGAAAACATCTAGCTTTCCAGCGAGATGGACGGCTACATCGTGGCAAGATAGCTGTTCGGAAGACGCTTGTAATACAAAGGAGCATGACCACCTCCAGCGGAGTTGACCGGCGTCCGGGAATGCACGCGTCAAGCTTCTATGAAATGCGCCTGGAACCCAGCTCGCGGCTGGACGAAGCAAGGGCCAGCCTAACACGCACTAGCACTTACCTCTTTGGCTGTCGGACTCGGAGCTGGCTCTTACGTTGAGTCGTCGTGCCACTCCTGCGAGCCGATCTGCGCGCCATCCCTGACGCCACCAATGAGCTTCGCGTCCTCTTCCGCCGTGTTCTCATCCGCCCACGGGTCCCGAAGCGGCCAAATGTCTGTCTCGGAGGTGTACCACGCGTCTTTGCGGAAGTCGCACTGAGAAGGCCCGAAGTCTTGCGGCAAGTCCGGGTATCTCTCCGCGAACGCGCTCTGGATGGCCTGGACCCGCCCGCTGGTGGTGACCTCGTCGAACTGATTCTCCCAGAACCCTGTGCACCTGTCGGCGGGGCAGCAGTTGGGCCCCGATGGGCTCGTGGCCTCGATCTCTTCGAGGCTCACCACCCCAGCGTCCTCGTAGCTCCACGTGCAATCCTTCGCGCCTGTCGGCTCGCCGCTGCAGCGGCCTTCCGCGGGCAGGGCATACCAGGTCCCCCCTGGCGCTGGCGTGTCGCCGTCGGGGAAGGGGTAGTGGTCCAAGAAGTTGTTGCACCCGACGTTGAACCCATACTTGCCGTAGTGGTAATCGCAATCGTCAGGGCCGCTGCACCTGTTGTCGGGGAAGCACCGGCCCATGCAGTTCCCGAAGTCGAAGGAGAAGCGGGTGCCGAAGTTCATGCCAACCTTGTAGATCTCACTGGTGGCCCGTGTTCGGATTCTATAGCGGTTGATCTGGGATATGTTGAACTTGCGCGGACATCGTGTCCCGTCGGTGTACATGGTTACGACCTCGTTCATGAGATACCAAACGACCCCGTCGAGATTGCCGGTGTTGATGTTCCCGAAGGAGTACCTCTTGGTGGCGTCTTCCGAGTTGGCGCGGTACATGTAAAACTCAAAAAGAGGAGCTGGAGACACCGTTGTAGTGGTCATCCCTGTGGTTGTGGCCATCCCCGTGGTTGTGGCCATCCCAGTGGTTGTGGTCATCCCCGTGGTTGCATTCCTCCTTTTTAAAGTCGTCCATGTGGCAGCGTGCCCCGCTGCAGACCTCTCTGGCCTCAACACCAACTGGTCGCCGACGCTCCAGTTGCCGGGTCCCGCCAGAGTGCTGGGGTGCCAACGGCCGCAGCTCATCATGCGGCAGAACTGCTCGTCCCTCCAGACCGCGACGTCCCCAGTCACCACCCCGTTTGACATGTGGAACACCTGGCCGCTCCAGTCGCTCGTGCCGAAGACCTCGTCCGCGTCCTGCGCGGAAAACCCGAAATAGGTGCCCTCCTCCTGCAAGACGTCCGGATTGGCGTTGACCACTGTCAGCCGTCCTCCGCTCTCCAGCTGGCTCGCTGGGGCGTTTCCCGCAGTCCCCACCCCTGCGCGCTGCGCGGGAGTCCGCCGACCCCTTGTGGTTCATCGGCGTGTGAGATGCTTCCCCCTCCCCAAACCCCTCCCTTGGGAGCCTGGTCTGGTCGACTTGGAAGAGGGGGAAGTCGCCAAGGGCCCAGCCTAAAGCGCCATGGGGGGACAGAGAGCCCCCAAACGGGTCATCAGGGCTCCAACAGGCCCCCCTGACGGTCCAAGAGGGCCACGAGTCGCCGAAAGATCGATCCAAAACGCCGACGCTGGCCTTCAGATGCCCCAAGAAGCCCCCAAGAGGCGTCTCAAGAGGGCCTTCATTAGCCCCGAGAGGCCCCCACGAGACTCCTAGGAGGCCCCCAGAGGCCCCCTAGAGGCTCCCAAGACGCCCTCAGAGGCCCCCTGGAAGGGGCTGCACGTGGTCCGAACGTGCACCCCGCGAAGCGAAAGGAATTTTGCCGAAGAAGGCGCCGACCACAACCTCGCCTGCCAACGGCCCGTCCTCGCCGCCGCCGCCGCCGACGAAAACGACGACCACGACGACGACGACGACGACGTTGACGTTGACGTTAACGTTGACGTTACGACGACATCACCGTCAACGACGACGACGAACGACGACGACGTTGCCGACTGCGACGTTGACGTTGACCTTGACGTTGGCGAGGACGTTGATGTTGACGACGACGTTGCCGTTGACGGAAACGACGAACGACGACAACGTTGACGACGACACCGACTACGGTGACGACGACGGCGACGACGACGTTGACGACAACGACGACGACGTTGACAACGACGACAACGACGACGTTGATGACGACGACGTTGACGACGATGGCGACGACGATAACGTTGGCGACGACGACGACGTTGACGATGACGACGACGCTGACAACGACGACGTTGACGACGACGACGTTGACGATGGCGACGAAAACGTTGACGACATTGGCGGCGACGGCAGCGACGACGGAAGACGTTGACGACGTTGACGGTGACGTTGGCGACGACGACGACAACGACGACGTTGACGACGACGACGATGACGACGACGCCGGCGGAGACGACGACGACGTTGACGACGACGGCACCGACCAACGACGACGACGCTGACGACCACGACGACGACTACGTTGACAACGACGGCGATGACGTTGACGACGACGACGATATTGGCGGCGACGACGACGACGTTGACGATGACGACGACTACGACGCTAACGACGACGACATTGAGAACGACGACGGCGACGTTGACGTTGACGAGGACGACGACGTTGACGACGACGACGACGACGACGGCGACGTTCACGACAACGTCAATGATGTTGACGGCGGCGGCGACGATGACTTCGACGACGACGACGACATTGACGACGACGACGACGTTGACGACGCTGACGTTGACGGCGGCGACGACGACGACGAACAACGACGACGTTGACGACGACGACCACGAAGTTGACGTTGACGACAACGACGCTGGCGGCGACGACGACGACAACGACGACGCTGGCGACGACGACGTTGACGGCGACGTCGTTGATGACGACGACGACGCTGACGACGACGACGTCGACGACTACAACGACGTTGACGACGACGACGATGTTGACGACGAACGACGACGACGACGTTGACGACACCGCGACGACGATGACGTTGACGAGAACGACAACGACGTTGACGACGACGACGCTGACGACGGCGACGACGACGACAACGACGCTGACGACGACGACGATGGCGACGTTGATGACGACGACGTTGACGACGACGACGTTGACGACGACAGCGACGACCACGTTGACGACCACGACGTTGACGACAACAACGACGTTGACGACGACGACGGCGACGACAACGGAGACGACGACGACGTTGTCGACGACGACGACTGCGACGACGCTGACGACGAAAGACGACGACGTTGACGACGACGGCGACGTTGACAACGACGGCGATGACGACGACGACGCTGGCGGCGACGACGGCGACTTTGACGACGACGCTCACGACGACGACGGCGACGTCGTTGATGACGACGACGCTGACGGCGACGTTGAAGACGACGACGACGACGACGTTGACGACGACGTTGAGGACGACGACGACGTTGACGACGACGACGTTGACGGCGACGACGCCGATGGCGTTGACGACGAACGACGACGACGTTGACAACGGCGACGACATTGACGACGGCAGCGACGACGCTGACGACGACATAGACGACATTGACGACGGCGGCAACGACGGCGACAACGACGACGTTGACGACGACGGCGACAACGACGACGACGGCAACGACGACAACGGCGACGACGACGGCAGCCACGACGACGACGTTGACGCCGACGGCGATGACGACGGCAACGACGAACGACGACGTTGACGATGACGACGGCGTTGACGACGTCGACGGAGAAATCGACAGCGACGATGGCGGCGACGTTGACGACGACGGCGACGTTGATGACGACGACAACGACGACAACCACACCGACGACGTTGACGATGACGACGGCGTCGACGTTGACGACGACGACGACGCTGACGACGACGACGCTGACGACGACGACGGCGACGTCGTTGATGACGACGACTTTGACGAAGACGCTGACGATCACGACGAGGACGTTGACGACGACGCCGACGACGTTGCTGACGACGACGTTGACGACGACGACGTCGACGACGACGACAAATACGTTGACGACGACGATGACGACGACGAAAGATGACGACGACGACGTTGGCGATAACGACGACGTTGACGGCGACGGCAGAGACGTTGACGACGTCGACGACAACGGCGACGACGACGACGATGACGACGACGCCGACGTCGACGACGACGGCTACGACGACGTTTGCGACGACGACGGCGACGACATTGACGACGAACGACGACGTCGACCACGACGCTGACGACGACGAGGACGAAGTTGATGACGACGACGACGACGGCGACGACAACGACGACGTCGACGACGACAACGGCGACAACGACGACGACGATGTTGACGACGACGGCGACGACGACGACGGCGACGACGACGTTGACGACACCAACGGCGACGAGGTTGACGGCGGCGTCGACGACGACGACGTTGACGACGACGACGTCGTTGATGACGACGACCACGACGAGGACGACGCTGAAGACGTTGACGACGGCGGCGACGACGCTAACGACGACAACGTTAACGACGACGACGACGACTTTGACAATGAAGGGCGACGACGTTGACGACGGCGAGGGCGAGGGCGACGTTGACGAAGTTGACGACGCCGACGAAGACGCTGTTGACGACGACGACGACGACAACAACGACGACGACGACGACGTTGACGATGACGACAACGACGGCTGCCACGTTGACAGCGACGTTTCCGACGACGACGGCGTTGACAACGACGACGACAACAACAACGACGACGACGACAACGACGACGACGGCGATGACAACGGCGACGTTGACGACGACGTTGACGACGACGAAGACGACGCTGATGACGACGGCGAAAACGTTTTTGACGACGACGACGCTGGCGGCGACGACGACGTTGATGACGACGACGTTGACGAAGACGGCGGCGATGACAACGACCACGACGACGACGCTGACGACGACGACGACCATGACGACGTTGACGACGACGGCGACGACGTTGACGACCACAACGACGTCGACGACGACGATGACGTTGACGATGAAAGACGACGGCGACAAAGACGACGACGACAACGACGACGACGACGGCGACGACGCCGGCGAGGACAACGACGACGACGTTGACGACGATGACGACGACGTTGACGACGTTGTCGACGACGATGGCCAAGACGACAACGTTGACGATGTTGACGACGACGTCGTTGATGACGACGACCACGACGACGATGCTGATGACGACGACGACGATGACGACGACGAAGTTGCTCACGACGACGACGACGTTGACGACGACGACGTTAACGACGATGACGACGTTGACGACGACGACAACGACGAAGACGACAAAGTTGACGATGATGCTGACGACGACGACGAAGACGACGACGACGATGACGACCGCGATGACGACGTTAACGACGACGGCGGCGACGACGTTGACGACGACGTCGACGACGACGACGCTGGCGGCGACGACGGCGACGTTGGCGACGACTACGCACCAATGATGACGACGACAACGGCAACGACGACGCTGGCGACGACGACGACTTTGACGACGACGGTAACGACTACAACGTTGACGACGACAATGAAGGACGACGACGTTGACGACGGCGACGGCAACGTTGACGATGTTGACGACGACGGCGCTACAGACGACAACGACGACGACGACGACAACACCAACGACGACGATGACGACGTTGACAACGACGACGAACGACGACGACGTTCCCCAAGACAACGATGAAGTTGACGACGACGGCGGCGACGATAATGACGACGACGGCGACGTTGGCAGCGACGACGACGACGTTGACGACGACGACGATGACAACGACCACGGCGACGACGACGACGGCGACGACGACGACGACGTTGACGACGACGACGTTGACGACGACAACGACGACGTTCAAGACGACGACGTTGACGACTACCACGACCACGACGACGACGATGACGTTGACGACGAACGACGATGACGACGACGACGTTGACGACGGCGACGACGAAGTTGACGACATTGACGACGACGCTGGCGACGACCAGGACGTTGACGACGACGACGACAACGACGCCGTTGACGACGACGGCGGCATTGACAACGACGACGTCGACGACGACGGCGACGGCGACGACGACGGCGACGACGACGTTGACGACGACAACGACAACGTTGACGACGCCGCTGGCCACGACGACGACGTTGACGACGACGACGACGTCGTTGACGGCGACGACGTCGACGACGATGCTGACGACGACGACGACGTTGACGACGACGAGAACGACGTTGCTGACGACGACGTTGACGACGACGACGACGTTGACGACGACGATGACGTTGACGTTGACGACGACGTTGTCGTTGACGACGACGACAACGACGACGACGACAACGACGACGATTTTGACGACGACAACCACGCTGTTCACGACGACGACGACAACGGCGACGACGACGACGTTGACGTCGACGACGACGGCGGCGACTTTGACAACGACGACGACGACGGCGCTGACGAAGACGACAACAACAACGACGACAACGATGACGACGTTGATGACGGCGACGACGTTGGCGACGACGACGACGACGTTGACGACGACGGCGGCGACGTTGACGACGACGGTGGCAACGCTTTTGACGACGACGACGACGCTGGCAGCGACGACGACGACGTTGACGACGACGGCGACAACGACCACGACGACGACGACGCTGACGACGACGACGTTGACGACGACAACGACGATGTTGACGGCGACGACGACGTTGACGACGTTGACGACGACGACGATGACAACGACCACGACGACAACGACGCTGACGACGACGACGACGACAACAACGGCGACGGTGACGACGACAACGACGCCGTTAACGACGACGACGTTGACGACTACAACGACTTTGACGACAACGATGACGTTAACGACGAACGACGACGACGACGTTGACGATGGCGATGACGAAGTTGACGACGTTGGCGACGACGACGGCGACGACGTCGACGACGACGGCGACGACGACGGCGGCAACAACGACGACGTTGACGACGATCACGACAACGACGTTGACGACGACGACAACGACGAAGCTGGCCACGTAGACGACTACGTTGACGACGACGACGTCGTTGATGACGACGACCACGACGACGACGCTGCCGACGACGACGACGACGTTGACGACGACAACGACGACCGTGCTGATGACGACGTTGACGTCGACGACGACGTTGACGTTGACGACGACGACAACGACGACGACCACGTTGACGACGACGGCGACGACCTCGCCTGCCAACGGCCCGTCCTCCACGGCCGCCGCCTGCATCACGGACGACCCGCTCTGCTGCGGCCGCTGCCCGCGGCTGCGCGCCGCGGCCAGCGCCAGCGCCGCCGAGGCCAGCAGCCCTGCGCCCAGCAGCCGGGCCGCGGAGCCCCAGGCGCGCCAGCTCCGCGCGCGGGCGCCGCGCGTGTCGGCCTCGTCGTCGGGGGGGTCCACAAGGTAGGGAACCGAACTCTAACACCGACGCTTCTTCCAGCCCTGTGAAATCCCACCAGCCCTCTGGCCGCAGGTGGTCTAACGATGTCTTCCTTTCCTCTTCCAAAAATCTCGTCCTCCCCTTCGGGGAGAGGCTTGACCCTCCCCCTTCCCTCTCCCCTGGACCTGGACGGGGGGGTTCGCGAGGTGTCGGGGCGTTCAAGATAGCCTGACATGGCTCCAAGAGGGCGTCAGAAAGCCCAAGATGGCCTCCAAGATCGCTCAATCTAGCCCTACATGGCTCAAGATAGCTAACAACATGCCTCCAAGAGGCCCCGAAAGGGCGACAAGACGGTTCCAGGGGCTTTTGGACACCCCTCAGGACCTCCCGGGGGAGCCAAAATCCTTCAAACACCGAAGGAAAATTGATGATTGTTGCCCTCTCCCCTTTTCACTTCCGATGCGTTTTTGAGGCGTCAAGGTGGCCCCAAGATAGCCGAAGAGAGTTCCCAAGAGGGGCCCAAGATGCCCCCAAGACGACCCCAAGACCGCCCAAGATCGCTCCAAGAGAGGCCCAAGAGCGTCACAAGAGGTTATTTTGATTGCCCCAGAGGGGGGGCTAAATAGCAGGACCCCCCCTCTGTTCACCGACACCCTCCACGACAGCCCCAAGAGGACCTCCGGCCCCCAAAAGCTTTAAGAGAGCCACAAGAGGGTCCCAAGAAGCGCCCAGGAGGCCCCAAAAGGCCCCCAAGAGGCCGCCAAGAGGCCGCCAAGAGGCCCAAAGAGGCTCCCCGAGGCACCCCAGACGCTCCAAGAGGCCCCCGGGACCGCCAAGAGGCCCCCAAGACGCTCCAAGATGCCTGCAGGAAGCTCCTAAGAGACATCCGAAGAGACTAAGAGAGGCACCCAAGAGGCCTCTGGCCCTTCTGCTCGCCCTTTTCCTCCTCCTCCTCCTCCTCCTCCTTCTCCTCCTCCTCTTCCTCCTCCTCCTCTTCCTCCCCCTCCTTCTCCTCATCCGCCCATTCCTCCTCGTCCATCCTCCCTCCTCCCCCTCCCCCTCCCCCTCCTCCTCCTCCTCCTCCTCCTCCTCCTCCTCGTGCTCGTGCTCCTCGTCGTCCTCCCCCTCCTCACCCTCCTCCTCATCCTCTTCCGATTCCTCCTCCATCATCCTCCTCTTGGGGTATGACGATTTCCCCGGCCTTTTGTTCCTCTGCATGCTCCCCCACTTCCCTCATCAAGGCTACTCGTCTGGGCATCATTGCTGGATGGGTTGGTGGGGCTACGCGATGCGTGAAGAATTTGCACACGGAAGCGGATCCTGGTATATACGGGGTCCTGGTGTATACATGTTTGAGAGAACGCGTTTCACTGGCGCTTGCCTTGGGAACATTCGGCGGCGCGTTTCGAACCGGGGGGTGGGCCCCCCCAACAATCGGCGCCGTCGATCAAAACCAAGGCTCCCCTCCCCCCCAACCCCCCTCCTCCCGAACCCCCCCCCCCCCCAAGGCGGGAGGAGGGGTTTCAACCCCCCCCCCTCCCCCGGCGCCGGCGCGGGCGTTGGCGGCCGCCAGCAGCGCCGACGGCGGGGACGCAGCGACGATGACCAGAGGCAGCCCAGGGGGGGGTTCAACCCCCCCCCACTGGCGCCGGCGCCAGCGCTGGCGGCGGCCAGCAGCGCCGGCGATGGGGCTGGCGACGGCGGGGACGCAGCGACGATCACCACCACTACCACCACCACCACTACCACTACGACCACCGCCTCAACCCACCACCACCACCAACCCACCACACAACCACCACCACCACAGCCACCACCACCATCACAACCACCACCACAACTCACCATCACCACCATCACCACAACAAAAACCCACCAACACGACCACGACCACTACAATCTACCACATCAGCACCACCACCACCACCACAACCACCACCACTACTAGCTGCACAACCCACCGCCACCACCACAAACCGCCACACCACCACCACCACCGCCAGCACCACCGCCAGCACCACCTCCACCACCACCGCCACCACCACCACCACACCACCACCACCACCACCACACCACCACCACCAAACCACCACCACCACCACCACCGCCACAACCCGCCACCACCGCAAACCACCAGCACACCACCACCAAACCACCACCACCACCACCCACCACCACCACCACCATCACAACAAACCACCACACCTCAACCACCACCACAACCACCACCACCGCACCGCCACCACCACCACCACAACCCACCATCACCACCACCACCACCGTCGTCCTCGTCGACGCTCCCTGCCGCCGCCGCCCGCCGCCGCAAGCACCGGCGCCGGCCCAGCAAAAAAAATTGTCGTCCCCGCCGCCGCCGCCAGCCGCCGCCGACGCAAGCGCCGGCCCGAGGAGAGGGGAAGCAGGGAGGGAAAGGGGGGGGGTCCGGTTTCACCCCCCCCCCCTCCAAGGGACCACAGAACGCGCTCTTTCATATGTTTCTGTGCTTCCCCAGGGAAAGCGTGGACAAAAGTATACAGCACATCATCACGACGTCGTCCCCGCCCCGACCCTCAGAAAGTCATGGGATTGAAAAAAAAAAAACGCCACTGGTAATTAATGTATATGCTCCAGTTTCCGACGAGGGGTGTGTCCAAGAGGGGGGTTCGAAATTCATGCCCCGACGCACGCGCGCGGCCAAGGGGGCGGGGGGGGGAGGCTAGGGAACGCATAAAAAAAACAGAGGTGCCATGAAACCTAGGGGGATATCGCGGCCCTGGCCGTGATACCCAGCCCCCCTGATCATCGCCCTCCTCCTTGTCCGCCCGCGACGTCCTGGTCAGTGTCAAGCTCCTCCTGGTCCGTGCTGGGCAGCGCGGCCGCGACCGCCTCGTACGCCGGCGGCATCGCGCCGCGGAGTCCCTGCCGCGGCTGCACTCGAACTGCGGCGGCGAGGCTCCGGGCCTCCTGTCTCCTGTTGTCCCGCCGACTTGAGCCAAAACGGCTACCGCAGCGGCTGCGACGAAACCGTTGAGCCCACCCCTTGAGGCATATCAAGCGCTACTGGCGCGTGGGCCCCAACCGAATGGCTCTGGGCAATATATTGGGCGCAATCTGTGGGATGCCATCTACGGGGTGCAACCGCCGGGGTGGAATCGACGGTATGTAACTAATGATTGCAAGCCTTGAAGCCGTCAACTCGAATGATCGTGCAAGCATCCCATCCTCCCACCCGCATTCTGCTGACAAAAAACTAATCTAGCCATGATCTCAACGAGCGCACGGGCATGTGGAACTCAACCGCGCAGACACGTCCATCCTGCGGATCACGGAATGGGTGGGCGCGAGTTGGTGTTTGAATGAGTTGGACATGCGTGGTCGAGTCTCCCGCATGGTCTGATTTGACAGGAGTGTGTAAGCACCATTGGCTTTCCTATGATTCAGAAAGTGCGCGCACAGCTTCTTGGTTTTGGCATAGAAAAGGCAATAGCAATGATGACGCTGACGATGATGATGACGATTGTGCTGATGAGGATGATGAGGAAAAACGCGCCCTCGAAAACCAGAGGTCCCAGAATCTGACCGGTCAACCAACCAACCAACCAACCAACCGACCAACGTAACACAACAATAAGCGTCGCCCTCTGTTTCGAATGCGGAATCCCCGGAGGCCCCGACGACTTCCCCTGGAAGGTCGCTGCTGCATCCAGAAGAGTTTGTTCGACGGTCCCGGTGTCCAAGCACGGCTCTCCGAGGCAGAAGAATCACAAGCAGACAAATCCGCACGGAAGACATCGGAAAATAAGAAAGTACGCCGTTGCGCTGCGGCGCGATGAGCGCGAGTAGAGGAAGAGGCGCGCACGCCCTTTGCCTGTACTTGGTCCTTCAGACGATCAGCTGCGTCGGGCGGCCCTGTGATTAGCGGACGGCCACGGGTATCGCGAAGCACTTTGCTGAGACCAGGCGTGCTGCGACGCGTGGTCTGGCACTTCTGGGCGGGACCTGACTTGCTTTGCTGAGTGGCCTGGCTTGCTTCGACGGGTGGTCTGGTTTACACTTGGGGGGAGGGTCTACTCTGCTTTCGGGTCGTCTGGCTTGCTTTGCCGCGTGGTATGGCTTACGTTTGGGGCGGGTCTGATACACTGTTGGCCGGTCTAGCTTGCTTTGCTTGGAGGCCTGGCTTGCTTTCAAGCGGGATTGGGTTAACTTTCGGGAGGCTTCGCTTGATGCGATGGGCGGTCTGGCTTACTATTGGGCGGGGTTCTGGTCTACTGTTGGGTGGTCAGGCCTGCTGTGGCGGGCGGTTTGGTTCAATTTTGGGTGCAGTCTGCTCAACTTTTGGGCGGTCTGGCCTGCGGCGAACGATGCGCTGGTCTACTTGTGCGCGGTGTCGGGTCTACTACTCTTGGGCGGCCCAGCTGGCTGCGATGGCTGATTTGGTTTACTTGTGGGCGGAGGCTGGTCTACTTTTGGATGGCCTTGGGTGCTTTGATGGGTGGTCTGGTATACTTCCGGGCAGGGTCTGGTCTACTCTTGGGAGGTGGTCTAGCCTTCAGTGATTGGTGGCATGGTTTACTTTTGGACTGGCACTGGTCTACTTTCGGGAGGCCTAGAATGCTGTGATGGATGGTCTGCTACACTGTTGGGCGGGGTCTGGTCTAAAAATTGGCGGTCTTGGCTGCTTTGACGGGTGGTCTGGTTTCCTTCTGGGCAGGGTCTGCTCTGCTTTGGGACAGTCTTGCCTGCTGTGATTGCTTGGTGTGGCATATTCATGGGCGACGTCAGGTCTACTTTCGGGGGGCCTAGCTTGCCGTGGTGGGTGGTCTGGTTTACTCCTGGGCGGGGTCTGTTCTACTTGTGGGTGGTCTGGCCGGCTGTGCCTGATGGTCTGGTTTACTTTTGGGCGGGGTCTGCTCTACTTTCGGGTGGCCTAGCCTGCCATGACGGGTGGTTTGGTCTGCTTTTGGGCGGGGTCTAGTCTACTTTGGGGCGATCTAGCCTGCTGTGATTGGTGGTCTGGTTTACCTTCGGGCGGGGTCGGGTCTACTTTGAGGGCGGCCCTGCAGTGCAACGGCGGCGGTCTTGAAGGTATGTGGCGCTATAAACGTGATACAATACATGTGGTGAGCTATGTGGTGTTAGCTATATGGTGCAAGTTATGTGGTGCAATTGACTACCCTGCACCGCGCTTGACCACCTCCACTGCTCGCGCAAACATCCCACCCACCCACCCACAACTTGGTCTGCAAAATCTCTGAAGACCGTGACGGTGGGTACCAAATGGCACTTGGAAACGACAGCGACGCCGACGACGACAGCGACAACGACGACGACGACGCCGCCGCCGACAACCACTACGACGACACCGACGACGTCTCCAACGACTTCGACGACGCCGACAACGACGACGACGACACCGACGACGACGCCGCCGACGCCGACGACGAAGACGACGACGATGACAACGACGACGACGATGACGACGCCGACGACGACGACAACGACGACACCGACGACGACGACGACATCAACGACGCCGACGACGACGACGACGACGACGACGACGGCGGCAACGACGACGACGCCGACGTCGACGACGACGAAGACAGCGACGACGCCGACGCCGACGACGACGACGAAGACAACGACGACGTCGCCAACGAAGACGACGACGAGGGAGGAGGGAGGACGACGACGCCGACAACGACGACAACGACGATAACGACGACAACGACGACGGAGGAGGGAGGACGGCGACGACGCGAACGACGCGAACGACGAAGAAGGAGGAAGGACGGCGACGCCGACGACGACAACGACGAGGCAGGAGGGAAGACGACGACAATTACAACGACGCCGACGACGACGACGACGCCGGCGACGAAATAGGAGGGACGACGACGAGACGCCGACGACGGACGACGACGACGACGACGAGGGAGGAGGAGGAAGGACGACCACGGCGACAACGACGACGGAAACGACCACGACGCCAAAGAGGACGACGACGACGAACACGAGGAAAGACAAATGACGACGTAGGCGACGACGACGACGACGCGGGAGGAGGGAGGACGGCGACGACGACGACGACGACGACGCAAGAGCGCGCGCGCATGCATTTGTTGAAAACCCGTGTTGCGAAACTTTGTGTTTTTACCTAACAGCGAAGACTGATAGGTTTCTAGTAGGGTCAAAAGAGAGCATCATGACGCCCCAAGGGGGTCTGGGCGAGATCCGGGGAAGTGCCGGGGATTTTTTTAACCCAACAGTTACACACTTCGTGGTCTTCGAGGTCCCAGAACTCCATTCCCGGGCCACGTTCTGAATGCCCAGAGCCAACTGTAGGCCACTTCGTGGTCGTCGAGTCCACTCCCGGGCCACATTTTGAATGCCCGGAGCCGACTGTAGGCCACTTCGTGCTCTTCGAGTTCCCAAACCTCCACTCCCGGGCCACATTTTGAATGACCGGAGCCAACTGTAAGCCACTTCGTGGTCTTCGAGTTCCCAGAACTCCATTCCTGGGCATGATTTTGAATGCCCGAAGCCAACTGTAGGCCACTTCATGTTCTTCTAGTTCCCAGAACTCCATTCCTGGGCCACATTTTGAATGCTGAGGCAAGCTGATGCTGAGGCTGAGGCAGGCTGAGGCTGAGGCAGGCTGAGGCTGAGGCCGAGGCTGAAGGCAGACTGAGGCTGAGGCTGAAGCAGGCTGAGGCTGAGGCTGAGGCAGGCTGAGGCTGAGGCTGAGGCAGGCTGATGCTGAGGCAGGCTGAGGCTGAGGCTGAGGCTGATGCAGGCTGAGGCTGAGGCAGGCTGAGGCTGAGGCCGAGGCTGAAGGCAGACTGAGGCTGAGGCTGAAGCAGGCTGAGGCTGAGGCTGAGGCAGGCTGAGGCTGAGGCTGAGGCAGGCTGAGGCTGAGGCTGAGGCTGAGGCAGGCTGAGGCTGAGGCTGAGGCTGAGGCTGAGGCTGAGGCAGGCTGAGGCTGAGGCAGGCTGAGGCTGAGGCTGAGGCAGGCTGAGGCTGAGGCTGAGGCTGAGGCAGGCTGAGGCTGAGGCTGAGGCAGGCTGATGCTGAGGCAGGCTGAGGCTGAGGCTGAGGCTGAGGCTGAGGCTGAGGCTGAGGCTGAGGCAGGCTGAGGCTGAGGCCGAGGCTGAAGGCAGACTGAGGCTGAGGCTGAAGCAGGCTGAGGCTGAGGCTGAGGCAGGCTGAGGCTGAGGCTGAGGCAGGCTGAGGCTGAGGCAGGCTGAGGCTGAGGCTGAGGCTGAGGCTGCAGGCTGAGGCTGAGGCAGGCTGAGGCTGAGGCCGAGGCTGAAGGCAGACTGAGGCTGAGGCTGAAGCAGGCTGAGGCTGAGGCTGAGGCAGGCTGAGGCTGAGGCTGAGGCAGGCTGAGGCTGAGGCAGGCTGAGGCTGAGGCTGATGCAGGCTGAGGCTGAGGCAGGCTGAGGCTGAGGCCGAGGCTGAAGGCAGACTGAGGCTGAGGCTGAAGCAGGCTGAGGCTGAGGCTGAGGCAGGCTGAGGCTGAGGCTGAGGCAGGCTGAGGCTGCTGAGGCAGGCTGAGGAGGCAGGCTGAGGCTGAGGCTGAGGCTGCAGGCTGAGGCTGAGGCTGAGGCTGAGGCTGAGGCTGAGGCCTGAGGCTGAAGGCAGATGATGAGGCTGAGGCTGAGGCAGGCTGAGGCTGAGGCTGAGGCAGGCTGAGGCTGAGGCTGAGGCTGAGGCTGAGGCTGAGGCTGAGGCTGAGGCAGGCTGAGGCTGAGGCTGAGGCTGAGGAGGCTGAAGGCAGACTGAGGCTGAGGCTGAAGCAGGCTGAGGCTGAGGCTGAGGCAGGCTGAGGCTGAGGCTGAGGCTGAGGCTGAGGCTGAGGCTGAGGCTGAGGCAGGCTGAGGCTGAGGCTGAGGCTGAGGCCGAGGCTGAAGGCAGACTGAGGCTGAGGCTGAAGCAGGCTGAGGCTGAGGCTGAGGCAGGCTGAGGCTGAGGCTGAGGCAGGCTGATGCTGAGGCAGGCTG